TATGGTCCCCCAAGCACCACCAGGAGCAATTCCTGAGTACATGAGCCAGGAGTAATCCCTGAGCATTGCCGGGTGTGACCCAAAAAGAAAAAAAAAAAAGATCAATGAATTAATATTCAAATTGAGAACTCAGAAATAAACCCATAAAACTGTGCTCAATTAATTTTGAACAAAGATGACAAGATAATAAAAGGAGGATGGGGTTGGGGGAGAGTCCTTCAACAAATGGTGCTGGGACAAGTGAATCATATACATGGGAAAAAATATGGACTATGTCACATGCCATTCAAAAATCAACTCAAACTAGATCAAAAGCAAAAATGGACCTGCTAAAGCCATAAAAGCTTAGAAGAAGCAATCAATCTTCACGATCCTGTATCATGATGTCTAGGATGAACCCTGAAAGCGCTACAGTCAATAAAGGGTGGCCGCCCTGGAAGACCCCATTTTTGTAAAATTTTATAAATGAAATGTCCGTCAGAAGCATTTGCTTCTATAGGGAAAGAATAACAGAATGAGTGGTTGCCTGGAGCTGCAAAATCTGGGGTGACTGATATAAATGGGTGAAATGTTTCCTCCTAAAGTGATTGAAATGTTCTAAAATTAGATCATGGTGATGATTGTATAACTATAAATGTACTCAAATTCACTGAATTATACACTTTTTAAAAAGTGGATCTGGGGGCCAAGGAGATAGCTTAAAGGGCTAGTACGCATGCTGTGTGTTCGGGAGACTGGGTTCAATCCCTGGTACCATGTGCTCCCCCCAGTACCACCAGGCACAACCCCAAAGCACCAAGGTAGGAGCGGTCCACAGGGACTTCTGGGTGGGACCTGAATGCTAAAAGCAGCTTATTGTATGAGATATGTAAAGTACATGTCTTTACAGACAGGGCACTGAGCTTCCACTGTGTTCATTCTCTCTGGATCACAAGGAGCGCCAAGCAAGTACAGAGACGTCAAGATCGAGATGGCAAGAAGTACTGACACACGCCATGGAAAACATGCGAGTCGTTCCTGAAAGGGGAACTCCACGCTGAGACAAGTCTCCAGGTGACTGCAGTGCTGGCCACAATGCATGACTTCGACCCCGTGTGAAGCCCTGGGTGTCTGAAAACCATCATGCCTGGCAACTCCCCAGTCCCGACAGCACACTCTGCTTTGAGCCCCTGAAGTCGAGAACGCCTGCTCCCCAGGAAGAGACCCTGCGTGCTTCTTCCTTAAACCTCGCCCAAGTGTTCAGTTCTCTCTCCTAATCGAAGGGATAGCAAACAGCATCTTTCCAGCTGTCTATTCTCCAGTGTTTTCTGTTCAAAAAGTTTCCTTCCATTCCCACCTCTCTGTTGACTGCAGAGAGCGATGACTGGCTGAATGAGCCCAAAGTGGGCACCTGAGAAACATTAAACCAAACAAGTCCTTCCCTGAGACATCAATTCCTGAGCCTGAGACAAAGGTGTTATCTCTCCCGGGGCCTGAAACGTTGAGACAGGAAAAACTTTCAAGTTTGCCAGCAGCCCTCATTCCCGGGTAGGGAAAGCTACACAGCAATGAAGAATGAAGTGGCCCGTGGAGGTCAGCACCGATTTGAGATGGAAAGAGAACAGACAAACACCTCTCTGAAGTTGCAGAGGTTCCTTGGTTGGGAAACCTCCCGTCTCTGGTAACCCCAGTGTCTTAACAGAGCACACAGTGCGTAATGAAGTATTTGCCAAGCAAATGAACGGACAAGAAAATCCAATATTCTTTAGATAACAGGCCAATCTTTCTGTGTTTCTGCTGCTCAACAGTTAGGCTATTGGAATCCAGAGTTGGGTTTTTCACAGCTACCATTTGCTGTCTATGCCTCTATTATTAGACCTTCAGCAGTATGTCCTAAATACGGACTTACAGAGCTTCCTCCCTTGCTATCAGAGAGTGAAATTCATCATTTTTTTATGTCATCTGTACCTTCTAACCTAGAAAACAGAAATCACTCAGGAAATCTATGCTTAACTGATCTAATCAGTCTTTTACTCTTCACGCTTCAGCATTTTTTGTCATTGCCATCAATATTTCAATCTGCAAGATACTGGGAATAAATCAGTAGACTCAGTTCTATATTTCATCTATTCCATTAATTCACTGTTTGATACAGGAGATAAAACAAACTATTATGCTCAGTTAAGTAGTTTACCCATTAAATTAATTCATTCTATGACTGTTTACCTACTAAACACCAGGGCTGAAATGACAAAGGTCAGAATACCTGCCCTCATCAGTGGTGGTGGAGAAAGGGCACTGGTGGAGGGATGGGTATTCGATCATTGTATAACTGAAACCCAAGCACAAAAATTTGTACATGTACAACTGTACCTCATGGTGTTTCACTAATAAAAATTTAAGAAAAAAAAAGACAAAAAAGAGTGTTAAAAAAAAAAGAATACCTGCCCTCAAGGGTCTTATAACCTACCACAGAGCAGTAAATCAATTATTATTTACAGCACTGTGTGCTAAATATTTCTGAAGAGAAGGTTGTCTGATAGTATCAGAGATCTCTGGAGTTGACTCCTTCAGAAGACGAGGTCTACACAGAACAAACGTGGCCTAAATTAAGCCCAAGCGGGTGATTCGGACTCCAATTCACATACTTTAAAGTACTGTTCAATTCTTTCAGAATTGCATTCAACCAACGTGACCTAAGACCTGCCTACCATTTCCCCACAGAGTCTCATTCCATCCTCACACAGTTATTGTTGAGAGCTGCATGTCTGATATAAGTGACCTGTTCACGCTCAGAGAGCTAGTTAAGTGGCAGCACCGGGACTCAGAAATGCCTGTCTTCCAATTCCAGGGTCAGATATACCGCACTACTTTGTGTTCTACACAACTAGAACCATTGCCATCCCATGGGCTGGGGATGTGACTCAGTGGCAGAGCAGCCTTGCATATGGAGGACCTGGGTTCCAGCCCCAGCAGAGCAAAATAAAAGACGCCCATTTCCACTCCTTCCTCTGCAACTTTCCTTCACCCTATGGCATACAATAACTAAGTGTGAGGCACAAACAAGCAATCACCAACTGGTGAGCTGATAGGACTATATGCTTGCCACATTTTCAGAAGCAAGGGACCACGGCAGATCAAATGACTTTGCTGCTTATTATAGTACCATGTGCTGACAAGGAGCACAGTTGGCTGAAGTCGAGCAAATCTTTCAAGTTATATTTTAACAGAGCCTTTGACCACGATATCCGGTCAGTTGCTCCAATGTTCAGCAATAAATCAAAATGACTCTTCATTTCCTTTGACAGTTAACAGTCCTAATGAATTCAGTATAATCTCACCATCCATCAGAACATTTTCTGAGATGCAAACTTGCAGCTTGATGATTCACACAGTTACTAGAGAAGGGGAAATAAAGCAGTACTCATTGTTTTCTACAAAACTAGCATTGTTTGCAAAACCCAGAAACTGAGCAGCTGGCTGACTTGCCTAGCATGTAGGTTGGCTCCTTGGTCAGTTAGCAAAAAAGCTGTTTGTTGAACCACGGTCAGTGACTTGGGAGCATATGACCTCAAGTGGTCTTCACTGCACAGGCATGATCCGTAGACAAATCAATATACCGTTGTGCAAGGTTAAGACAAATTCAAAAAATATCCACCCCAAGAAAAGCCCCTGATATTGATCAGACATTAATACTGAATAATAAAAGATGTAACAGTTCTTTGAAAACATCAGCTGTCTATAAAGTTAAAGGAGAAACATCTGAACTAACCGCTTACCTGACACAGGTTACATTAGTAACCAAAGAAGACCACAAAGGAAATGGCTTAGTATACATAACAAATTCACTGAGACTGAAAAACTGTGGAAGAAGGCATGAAATCCACAGCTCTCTTGAATCAAGTCACCATGCTGGCACTCAGTTGTATGCTAATAGTCTTAGACACAGTTAGGTACACCAGAAGTTGCACTCCCTCTAACTTACAATCATTTCAAACAGAAGCATGGGGTGCAGTAGCCTACACCTGAATCCAACCCTATAAGACACAAGCACATCCCAACATTTTGTTGTTTTTCTAAAAAAAAAAAAAAAAAAAAAGGAGGGGAGGGGTAGAGGTGGAAGGGACTGTTCTCCACAGCGGTATCACTGCATCTCGTATTCCGTGCTCCTGAGAAGGTGTGAGAGCAATAACGGGGCAGCAGCTACTGGAAAGGTCTTATTCTTAGACTCCGAAATGAATCTCTCTTCTGAGCTCCAGACCGTGTTCGTGCAGACAAGCGCTTTCCAAAACGAACAACCTGCTCCCCCCGCCCTCCCACCCCCGACGAGGAGCCAAGTCATTTAACAAGTAGAAAGCTTGGGACAACTCCAGCGACCTCACACCCTAGCACGCAAACGCCACCCACCCCGAGGCAGCTTGCTCGCTGCCCTTCTTTTACCTAGAGGCGGACACGGGCAGCCTCTCCTTCCCTCCGGGGAACCTCTGCGAGAAATTCAAGGCCAAGTCTAGGATTTCATGTGGTTTGCAAATTTAAAAAAAAAAAAAAGCTCCCCGTGGCAGGAGCTGGAGCCTCTGATCCCGCTTTATCTCTCTGGGGTCTATGAAAAGCCCCGGGACCAGCCACCACCCGCGTCCCTTTTATTATTTTTTTATTATTATTCTTTTAATTTTAATGTTCCCTCGTGCAGGACAGCGGCAGACCTGAAGGGATGGTGCCACAAGACCCGAGCGGGGCCACGTCGCGGGCGCGGGAGGCCAAGTCCGCGGCGCCCCCCAGCTCGGGGCGGCCCCGGCCCCCCGCGACAGGGACGCAGTGACAGCGGTGTCACCTGTGCGGGAAGGGGCCGCGGCGCGGCAGGGTCCGGCGGCGGCTCTGGGCGCGCGCCCGGCGCCCCTCCGCACCCCGGGAAACTTTGGGGCGCGCGCGCGCCCCGATCCCCCGGGGACCCCGCGAGGCCGCGCCCCCCGCGCCCCCCCGCCCGCGCGCCCGGGCACCCGCGGGAGGGCGGGGTCGCTCACCCGTGCGCAGCTCGTGCTTGACCGTGAGGAGCTGCTCTCCCGCCGCGCCGCCCGCCTCCTCCTCCATCTTCTCCCGTGGCCGGCGCGCGGGGTCCGAGCCGACGCCGACGGGCGGCGCTTTCCCGCTCCGGCCGCGCGGCTCGCGCCTCCGCCTCCTCCCCCTCCGGCGGGCACCGCTAGTACCGCGCAACCAAGCCGCCCCCCGGCCCCGCCGCCGCCGCCTCCGCCCCGCCGCCCCGCCCCCTGCCAGCAAGGTCGAGCAGCCGCGGGCGCTCATTGGGCGCCCCGCGCGCGCACCGGCCCACGCCGGCTTCCCATTGGCCCATCCGCCCCGACGCTCCCGGAGCCGCCCCGCCCCGCTCCCCGAATTGTTGTTGCTTGGCGGGGAGGCAGGAGAGGGAGGAGCGCGGCGCCTCGGATTGGTCGGGCCCCGAGTCCCGGCCCCGCCCACCCGCGGGCGCGCACGCGCAGTCCAGACCTTCCCTTCCCTGACCTCCCCGGAGCCGTCACACCCCTTATTCCCCAGCTTCTGTGTTAGTAAACAGTGTCTAGTAGGCAGGAGGCGTTCGGGGTCTGTGATTGGCCGTGGCGGAAAGAGGCGGGGAGGGCTGATTGGTACGTTTGGTCCGCCAATCACTGTGGACAGAGGCGGAGCCTGGAGGGCCGCTCCGCTCTTGCACGTGTTTGCAGGCTTGGGCGCCGTAGACCGAAATCCACAAGTGTGATCCGCTGGAAGACTGGAAAGGTGTTGTTACTCTCCCCGAGTAAGCACGAGCAGGTGAAGTGGAATTTGTACCCGAATTAGGTAGTTTTGCTAGACGTTATGAAACCTCACAATCCTAGCTCTCACTTGAAGAAATCCGCAAAGAATTGACATTTCCTTTTTGACAATAGACGTCAATGGCACCCGAAGCACACTACAGCGATGTAGAGAGCAGGCTACAGTAACCCTAAACAGCTCTCAAGGGAAAGTGAAGCAGGCTCTGAAATAAAAGTCTCACAAAGCATTGGAGCGTTGCACCGCTCCATAGAGCAACTGGGGAAGGTTTTTGAAAGGCTCGGAAGCGTTTATGAGAAGCAACATGAAAGATATGGTAGGATAGAAGTAAAAACCAGTAGCAAACTTTTCAACAAATGGTAACGAACATAGGCCTGGTGTGAAGAAAGCAAACGTGGGTTAAGGAATTAAGAGATTTGGAAGTATGATGCGAGAATCCCAAAGGAAAAAATGATGAAGTGATAAAGAATCTTGAGTACAGTGGTTAATGAGGAAGATTTTATTTAACACAGGAAAGGTAGTTTCCAAGAGTAGTTACAATATCAAAGCTGCTCCCTTAGAGGCTAGGGAGCACGCGGCCAACTCAAGTTCTATCTCCAGCATCCCACACGGTCCCCAGAGCACCTCCAGGAGTGATTCCTGAGCGCAAAGCCAGGTGTAACACCGGAGCACCACTGGGAGTGGCTCAAAAAGAAAAAGGGGAAAAAAAGCTGCTCCCTTAGAAATTTGCTTTGGTTGTAACCACAAAAATGAACTGGAAAAAAAGTGTGAGCGGAGTAGGAAAACTGTTGCCAGAGAGAAATGACTTTTCCCAATTTCTGACAGTGGTTGGATAACGAAAAAAAGAGTAAAGAAGTGCACTTGGGGGCTGGAGCAATAGCACAGGGGGTAGGGCGTTTGCCTTGCAAGCAGCCAACCTAGGTTCGATTCCCAGCATCCCATATGGTCCCCCAAGCACCGCCAGGAGTAATTCCTGAGTGCATGAACCAGGGGTAATTCCTGTGCATCGCTGGGTGTGACCCAAAAAGAAAAAAAAAAGTGCACTTGGATTTAACCTAGAAGTGAACTTTTACACTAAGCTTGGATTAGATCGAAGATCAGAAATTTTCTGCAAAAAAGCCAAATAATATATATATATATTTAGGCTTTGGACCATGTAGTCTATTTCATAACTGGCTCTGCTACTATAGTGCAAAAGCAACTATAGGTAATAATCAAACTACAGACCAGAGGGATGGTACAGTGGATAAAGTGTTTACCTTGCATGTGGCTGAACTGGGTTTGATCCGTGGCACCACATGATCCCCCAAACTCAGCCAGAAATGATCCCTGAGCATACATCCAGGAGTAAACCCTGAGTATAGCCAGGTGTGGCCCAAAACAAGACAAATAAGCAAACTAAAGTATATAATTATGCTTTAATAAAACTTTATTTATGGACACTGACAGTTAAGTTAAACATAATCCGTTTGCAAACATTAAAACATGTAAAAACCATTCTTCATTTTGAGGACCCTAAAATGACAGGGTCCAATAAGCCCAATTTGGTGCAGGCTATGGTTTACAGATTCATGAAGTTCCAATAGAAGAGAAAACAGAGAAGTCTTGGAAGCCTCTTCAGGTTTCCCTTAGTATCCTGGGCCTGTCTGCCTGGAACATTTACCCCACTCAAACTTGACTGCCTACTTTTGGTTCTTCTCCTCCATGGTGCGCTATTATTCATTTGCTCACTGAACTTTCGTACCAGCAATGTACCCAGATCTGTGATAGATGCTATAAACACAGTGGGAATAAACTAGATGCCATAGTTGCTCTCTTAGCGTCTATAGATGGGAATGCATAGTAAATAATGACATAATAGGGGCTGGAGCAATAGCAAAGCGGGTAGGGCATTTGCCTTGCATGCGGACGACCCAGGTTCAATTCCCAGCATCCCATATGGTCCCCCAAGAACTGCCAGGAGTGATTCCTGAGTGCATGAACCAGGAGTAACTCCTGTGCATCGCCGGGTGTGACCCAAAAAAGCAAAAAAAAAAAAAAAAAAAAAAAGACATAATAAAATGTATGCGCTCCAAAGTGATCAATTTGTGGGGGGGGGGGGAGGGGAAGGGGGGAATTACAGGATACTGCAGTAGAATATATATCCTGGAAAGTGGGAGGAGATTGGAGAATCTTGAAGGCCCCTGTAAAGAAAAGTTGTATTTCATTGGAGTCTTTAAAGATGAGTAGGTTTTAACCAGGATGTGACGCCCTGAACTCATTTCCTCTTCCTGGACTTCCAAGACCACTCATCGCTCCCCCACTTTGTAGTTAGGATAGGGTCATGTGACTTTTACCTAGCCAATGGAAGGTGGGCAGACATCACTGCTATTTCCAGGTGGGGCCAGGAAATGCCATTCATACTCACTCTCTCCAGAGCAACTCTAAAGGCCACCTGTTGAGTGGGCGGGGGAGGGGGCCACACATTATTAGAGACACTAAATTTAGAAAGACAGGAGAGTGGTCAAGTGAGCCCCCTTGAGCCATCTCAGGCTTAGAAGTAAACAATTTGATGATGACTTTCCGTTTAAGTTGCTGAGCTGTTGGAGTCACTTGCTACCAAGGCACGAACTAACCTTTCAGGCCAGTTTTTCAGGTGAATTGTGCAGGGGGAAAGAATTCTCAGATGCTGGTTGAAGACTCTGGAGGCAGACAAAGGGACTGTTGTGTCTCAGGAACTTTGAAAAAGTCAAAATAAAGCAAACCAGAAGTGAGGCTGGGAGGTGGGCAGAGAGCCATCCTGCAGGTAGGGCACAACCCTCAGTTCTCACCCTGCCTCTGGGATTCCAGAAGATACAAATTAGCCCTAGGTGGAGCTGGAAGACACCCTCCTAGATTTGGCTGTCTAAGCCCCTCATTGTTTAGCAGGGAGAGGATGTAGAGGCATCTCATTATATGTATGAAGAAGATATGTATATATGTGCATATATATGTGTGTATATACATATACACAATATCCAGGCAATGGCAGTAAAGATTTTTTTACTCCCCTCCTCCATTTGACATCTTGAGGAAGGAACAACAACCACCAAACACCAGAACAGCACAAACACAAGAAAAGTCCTATTTTTAATGAAACAAGGAAATTCTCAAACCTCAGACCACAAGCCATGAAGTATTTTGCCAAATACTGCAAAACCTGTACTGAAATTGGGGAGGTGCTAAGAGCCCGCAGCCTGGGCCAGCAACCCTCAGCACAGTATGTATTTCCTCAAATGTTGTTCTCAGTCCCAAGCACCAAATCACTCCTACGTTGGAGTCGGTTTTCCCAAAGGCAAAGGAGACTGTATTATTAGGGGAGCAGGGGACAAGTTGAGAGTAAGCAATCAGCCATGTATACCAAATAGCTCATTGCGAAAAGGAGTCAATTTAGAATTCTTTCATTTGTGATCACGTGAATAGAAAAAGAGTCTTGCTTTGGTGCAGAGGGCTTTGATTTGTCTCTAAATGCTACTCATCTCCCTAATTAGGAGAATTTAGACCCCAGTCTCAGATAATACACTGTTGTAGCTAACTCACTCTTACTATTGTTTTGTTTGTATCACACTTATTATTCTAGTTACATCTGTCTTATAATAGTTTTGAAAAACAGAAATTGAGGCATCAGAGACATGGTACCACGAGTAAGGTGATTGCCTTGCATGTGGCTGACCTGGGTACTATTCCCAGCACCACATTTGGTTCCCAGAGCACGGCCCAGATGATCCCTCAGTATAGAGCCTGGAATAAACCCTGAACATTTCTAGGTGCCCCCCCCAAACAAACAAGATAGTAAAAATTGAATATTGATTCAAAGAATATTGATTATAATAAGGCCTACATGCAAATACTGAGGAAGTGGTACCCTAATGGCTGATACTTAGATTGGAGCCCCCCAACCCGAAGACCCCGAGGGTAGCAGGAGTGTTCATTGAAGAACCGTCTGGTAAGAGCAAAAGGCACTATCAAAGAGAAACCAGGCTGAGGGTTACTTACTGCTATCAGCTGTGAACTGGCTTCCAAGCCAAAGTTGCCACGTGTGTAACCTCCCTCCTTCCAGCATCTCTAACACAAAACATGGTGGCCAGGCACCTCCCCAGTCCCAATAGAGAATCAGGAAGAGAAAATGATCAGAATCAGAAACATACACAAGTTGCCAAGTGCTTCATTACTCTCCATTCCTTGCATGTGACTATCTCGATGGAGAAAATCCAAAATTATTTTCCTTTCAAAAATCATCTCAGGAGAGACACAGCAGTGAGTCCCGGAAGACGGCAGCTCACTGGAGATCTCGCTGGAGCTCGTACCGAGCCACAATTCCACCAGGGCACCTCAGATTGAGACGATGTACCCTCTCCACCCGCTCCAGATGAAACCCCAGTAGCCACAAGCTTCTGA